GCACCAGGAACGTGCGGGTCACGGCAGGAACCGGGGACCCCGGGGCAGGTAGAGAGGCCAGTGGGGGATGCTGAATCGTCACACCCCTTCTGCCCTGCCAGACCAGCCCAAGCCCAGCCAGGGCCCCACGGTGCAGCCGGGACCATTCCGGGAGCGGTGCCGAGATGACGGCGACTGCCCCGACGCGCAGAAATGCTGCAACAGCAGCTGTGGCCAGCAGTGCCTGCCGGGAGCGCCGGCCGGTGAGACAGGGTGGGACACGATGGACACTGAGGGCGGGGACATGGCTCAGACACCGGGAATGATGCCTGAGGTAGCAGCCACCCTGGCACAGAGCTGTGGCACAAACGGGACCCCTCACCCCATGCTTGCCAGGGTGGGCTCTGCCGGGTCTGGCGTGGGGACACAGTGTTGGGCCTCTTCAGCCCAACATCCCGGTGGCGCACAGCCCCCAGGTGGGCACTGGAGCGGGGAGGGAAGGGGACGGTGTGACCACCCTCATGCTCTCATCCTGCTCCACGGTGCAGAGGACACCAGCCCTGCCCCAGTCACTCAAAGGCCACTGCAGCACAAGTGGGGATGCCTCAAGGACCAGGACTGTCCCCCATTCCATGTGTGCTGCCACCAGCTGTGCGCCAGGCACTGTGGGGCAAAGAGCCAAGGTGAGAGGGCTGGGAGCCACCCCAAAGGTTCGACAGCCCCACGTGCCCCGGTCCCCACGGCTGTGTCTCCAAGCAGCGGCACCGCAGCCACCCCACACCGTGCCTGCAGGGAAGGACAGATTCTGCCCAGCCCGTGCCGGGCTGTTCCCCAGTTACGACTGCAGAGCCTGGTGCCGGCACGATGGCGACTGTCCCCGCAAGGAGAAATGCTGCCTCCGTGGCTGCGATTATGTCTGCCTGCCCCCATCCCGAGGTGCCAGAAACGGGCAGGGGTGTCCCCCAGCTCCAGGGACTTTGAGACTGGGTGGGGAAGACCCGCTGTTGCTGCTTGCACTCCCAGCCCCGCTGCCTCCTGTCCCCAGAGAAACCAGGCATCTGCCCGCTGGCCGAGGAGGCTCCGCTGGCCCCGTGTGGCATCACCTGCACCGAGGACTGGCAGTGTCCGGGGGCTGAGAAGTGCTGCGGCAGCAGCAGATGTGGCTACGTGTGCTCAGCCCCCGAACCAGGTGAGGAGGTGGTCGCTAGAGCAGTGATCCTCCCGGGAATGCTGTCCAAGCTCCTGGGCGTGTGACGGCGCTGCCACAGGGCGGGCACTCAGACCCCCGGGCACCCCGAGGATGCGGGAAAGGAGGTGCCTGCAATACAGGGTAGTCCCTCCTGCTGGCTCTTCCCGCCCTTCGCAGACAAACCCGGTGAGTGCCCAAAGGTGAGGCCACACCACTCATCGGAACCGTGCACGGAGATGGATTCCTGCAGCCACGACAGGGACTGCTCCCGGCAGGAGAAGTGCTGCTTCTCTGGCTGCGCCATGCGCTGCACCCGCCCTGCCCGAGGTGAGCAGCACGGCCACCAGCACAGGGGAGGGGTGTGAGAGCAGGGCTGGGACCTCCGCCCTCCCCCGGCTCCCCTCCTGTGGCAGAGCACCCCGGAGAGTGCCCCCGGGCCGAGCCGTGCTGGGACACGCGGCGCCGGCGAGGGAGCCAGTGCCTGGATGACAGCGTCTGCCGGCGACAGGAGAAGTGCTGTGACACCGGCTGTGGCTGGGAGTGCGTGGCCGTGCCCAGAGGTAGAGGGCACAGCCTGTTTGGGGGGAGCTGGCCCCTGCCCCCCAAGGGCAGCCAGGTGACAGCAATTTGGTGCCCCTGCAGCCAGCGGGGACAAAGCTGATGGTCAGTGTGTGGAGGAGTGCCAGACTGATTCACAGTGTCCCCGGGGACAGCGGTGCACCAGCATCAGCTGTGGCCACATCTGCATGGACATCCCTGGAGGTGAGAACCAGCCAGGCCCTCCGGGAGCCGTGTGTGGCTGCCCTGGAGTGCTCCATGGTGAGGTGCCCCAGGCCAGATGTCCCGCAGCTGGGTGATTACCTTGCAGGCAGAGTGGGAGTGTGCCCCATCCCCAGAGAGGGCGGCACCTGCTTGGACCTGTGCAACTTCGATGAGGAGTGTCCCTGGGGCCAAAAGTGCTGCAGTAATGGCTGTGGCCACGTCTGCACACCAGCCTCTCTGCGAGGTCAGCCCCTCACACCCACCCAGCCCAGCAGGGACAGAGCCCAGGTTCCCTTGGTACCCACCCCGGGGCATCCTGGCCCTTCATCCCCAATGGGGACCCCTCACCATGACCACACTGGAGCCCTGAGCTGGGTCTGCCAAGGCAGCTGGGGTTCTCACACCCTCCACAGATATCATCTACCCCATCCTTCTTTCCATGCCTCCCCCTCTTTCTGTGCAAGTGGTGAGCACACACAGCCTCAGTTTAGTCACAGGTGACCATCCTCCCCTGCCCACAGAGCATGACACTGTGGCTGTGCCCCGGCCCAGTGCTGAGCGGTGCTCGGAGGAGTGCGAGGCCGACTCACAGTGTCCCTGGGGACAGAGGTGCACCCGCACCTCCTGCGGCCGTGTCTGCGTGGACACTCCTGGAGGTGAGGCACAGGACACCCAGTGTTGTCCCAGGAGACGTGGGGTGTCTCAGCCAGGTGGTCCATGGCAGGGTGCTCTGCCCTGCAGGCAGAGGGGGAGCCTGCCCCATGCCTGGGGGCAGTGGGGGCTGCCTGGACCTGTGCAGCCTCGATGAGGAGTGTCCCTGGGGCCACGTCTGCATGCGGGTGCCTGGTGGTAAGGAGGCCTATGGGCACCGTAAGGGGGCAAGCACCAGGGCTAACACCAGGTCATGCAGGGTGCCAGCTGACCTGTATGAGGGGAACAGCCCTCGGCGTGCTCCCAGCATCTCTGTGAGGCCAGTTCCCACTGCTGCCCCATTGCTTTGCTCCCAGCAGATGCATTTGCAGGGTGAGGGGATCTGAAGTGATGCAGAGTGGGATGGAGCTCTCATGGAGCTGGCCAGCACGGCTGCAGTCATGGCCACTGGTCCCTCACTCCTGCAGTCTCGTTGTTCCCTAAAAGCACATCCTCCTTTTCAGATGCTGCGTGATGGAAGAGCAGCTCCTCTGCAGCAGGAAGATGCCTTCATTAGGGGACATGGGACAGTCACGAGCCCCACCTGGCCTGTCCCCTCCCCACCACTTCCAGCAATAAAGCGTGTGCTTGACTGCCCCACATGGTCCTGGAGTGGCCTTGAAATCACCCGAGGCCTCCAGGGCCAGGAGGTTCAGCCAGAGTTGGTGCCACAGGGCCAGTGAAGCCGTGCAGACTGGGACAGGCACCACCCCGGGCGTCCATCGAGGCAGGAGCTGCTCCTCCTCCATTCAGTGGCTTCAGCTCCTGGTCAGGTCATGTCGGCAGCTTGAAGGCAGGGTTGGGCTGGGAGCCCACCGGTGGCAATGGGAGCTGCAGGGTGGTGGCTGGGTGAGCCCTGCCATGCCATGCTGCTGGAGGCACCCAGCGCCCAGTCCCCATGAGGGAGGAGTGCCCAGAGGGATGGGCACTGTCTGCTCCTGCCAGCACAGGCAGGAAGGACCAGACCCAGACGTGCTCATCCAGGGACCCGTCCTTGTATTGTCACAGTCCAAGGGGAGGGACAGGCTCCTCCAGTCAGGCACCACTCATAGGAGGGGGCATCCATGGGCACACGTCCCTGTCCTTAGGCCAGTGAGCATCCCAGCCAAGCCACAGCCCCCAGCATGGCCACCCTGGCCCACAGCCCTCATTGCCACCAGCCTCATGGTCTCCCTGTAGGGTCGGGGGTATAGCCACCAGCAGCAGCTCCCCCCAGGCAGGGCAGGGCAGATGCCACCACTTCCCAGGCCAGCACTACCAGGCACCTGGAACTGAGAGCTGGGGCATCAGGAGAGGGGCCAGGAGCAGCTTCCATCTGTGGCCCATGGCACATTGCTAGTTACTGATGTGGGAACAGGCCTGGAAACACTCGCCCTTGGTCTCAAAGTTGTTCCTGTTGCCGCCGCAGCCGCCGTAGATGAACTCCTCACACTGCTGGCTGGAGGCATTGAAGAAGAAGCGGCGGAAGAGCGCCTTGCAGTTCCCACAGACTGAGGGCAGGTAGCAGAAGTCTGCATGATCCAAAGGGGACAGGCTGAGCCAGGATGGCGGGGGGACACCACCACGCTCAGCACTCTCAGGTCCTCAGACAGCTCTGCACAGTTCTGGTTCCTTTTTACTGCCATACCTTTGTGCCAGCACACAGCTCTGCACCCACCTGCCTCCAGCCCCACAACACCAGTAGCTTCCCCACAGCACAGTGTGGTGACCCCCAGGGTCTGCAAGACCCATCAAGAGCTCAGAAGCACCCCAGGGACCCCCATTCCCAGTTTGCTACCTCATGTCAGCCAACACCCCTCTTGTCACCCACCCCTGCGAAAGCCATGCTGCCACTGCAGAGCCCCACCACCATGGCACTGAGTCCTCACCCAGCACTGGCTCCTGGCATGTGTAGCCACACTTGCTGGGACAGCACTTGGTGACTCCACGGCAGTTGGCATCGCTGGTGCAGCGCGAACAGGAGGCACCCCTGCGGCAGGAGCCACAGTCCTTGTCCAGCAGGTCCTCAACCTCTGGGATGTGGTAGCAATACCCAGGCTTTGCTGCAGGACACAGTGGCCAGGATGCTGGTAAGAGGCACACAGCAGCCCCCCAGTACCCCGGGGTCAGACCCCAGGCTCCCACAGTCCCACACTCGTAGGCAGCACATGGGCCAGTGGGAAACACTGGGCAACAGAGGCACCCAGAGCATCCTTATTCCCAGGCCATGACCCAGCCACACTCACCCATCCCCAGCTCCTCTCGTCCAGTTGTGTGTGGGGCTGGGCTGGACCGCTTGGCAAGAGGGAGCAGGGCAGCAAGGAGGAGAAGACAGACAGATGGCAGCTCCATGGTGCCCTGGATGGCTGGGTCTGGCCCTGGGTGTGGTGGGCTGGGATTTAAGGTGCGCAGGCGGGGCGGAGGGAGCAGGGCTGGTGCCTAAACCCAGCTAATTCCTGCCATGCAGGTAACAAGCCACACCCAGGCAGGGCCTGGTCTCCCTGGTGGCATCCTGGCCACAGCCCTCGAGCTGGGGGGACCGGTAGGACGGGACAGCTGTCCCGGCACAGCCCTTGGGGAGCCCAGCTGGGTGGCAGCAGCATGCCCAGGCTGGGCTGGGGACAGCACCAGTGACTGCCGCAGTCTCCTGGGGACAAGCCTGTGTTGGAGACAGAAATGGGGAGGTTGACACTGGCCTCTCCATTGCTGGGGATCATGACAGTGCCAAGACAGGGCATGGAAAGCCACCAGCTCTGGCACAGCCATCAGCCAGAGAAGGGCTGAGGCACAGCACGCTGCAGCAGCGCTCTCTCTATGATCCCTGTGGTGCAAGTGGTGGGGAAAGGCTGTGCCAGAGCTGTATCCCTTCATCGCTTTCTCCCGTGTCTGACAGAGAGCATCCCGGGCACGATGGGCCCACACAGGGCTGAGCCTGTGGGTACCACCTCGCTGCCTACCACTGTGGCTGTGGAAGGCAGGTCCTGCTGGATGTGATGCTCCCATCCATTCCCATCCTCTGACCCTTTGCCGCCTCCTTCACCACCCTCTCTCGGTTTGGGGCCTTTCACCCACCCCCTCCCGCGGAACGCCGGTGCGGAGCCGTGTCCTGTGCCCTGCGGCAGCCCCTGCTCCTGGCAGCAGGTGGGGGTCCAGCGGCTGCACCGTGCCTGGGTGGCCCCTGGGGCTGGGACACGGCTCGCAGCCGGCTCAGCTTCCAGGGAGGAACCCGCCGGTACCCGTGGGTGGACGTGGGGTGAAACCTGCCAGAGGAGGGAGAAACAGATTAAGATGTTCCCATTCAGCAAGAATAATTGTCTTTCTAATTACTGCCGTAATTACTGTCCCAAGGGGGAAGCGGAGGGCGAGGAAAGCTCCGTGGGGAGGGGCCAGGAAAGTCTGATCGGGGTGAGGTTTGGAGGGCAGT